TGTTCTTTATTTTACATATTATTTTACACCTTTTAATTCCATTTTATTTGGAACTTCTTTGTCTTCTAACAAAGTTTAATGGCTGAGCTTTACATTTTAAAGGGACTCTGAAACATTTAGCATATCAGCTTTGAAGATCTTTGATGGCTAGTCCATGCTGAGATCAACCAAAGATGTCAAGACTTGAGTTTATTAAAGTAAAGCGCTGCCAAAAAAAGTTATTTGGGTTTTGTGTGTTTTTGTAAGTTTTCTTGAATTCAATTTGAAGCCGTACTGTATGGGTATCACAATTTACAATTTGTTTGAAGTGGTTATCTTCAGCCTTCTGCGATCTGGATGTTCTGCTGTGTTGAGAATAACAATTACTGTTTATAGTTTGGCTTTAAGAAGTTTATAACTCATCTCGTTTAGAATTTATATTGTAAAAGTGATTCCAGACTTGTTTTACAGGATTTAGATTCTACTTAAATACTGTAGAGATTATAGTTTCACACCAACATTCAGTTACTTTTTGAAAGAAGAATGTTTTTCTTTATATGGATTGCTGAACACAGCACTTTCATAAACTTTAATCATTGAACTAAGCTTTATTGCCCCTCACTAGGTGTATTCCAGTGTAACAGCAGCAAGTGGATGACATAGGAACATGGAAAATATCTGAATGTTTGAGAGACAATTTTCATATTTGAATTTCAACCTGTGTTTTGCAAAGCAGCCGTTTCACAGCCTTGTTCATTTTGCATAAATTCAGGACATAACTTGCCGTGAGTGAAAACTTCAGTTCACCGTTTTTGGTTTAAGTTGTTGCCTCCCTCATAAAATATTTCAGAAAATAATTTAAACTGCTTCACAGTTCTGTTATAGTAAAATATGTTTGTTTTTTTTCCTCTGAAATTGTGATTAGAATGTTATGAACTGTTTTTGAATATTTTCTGAACCTTTATTTTTCTCATGGAGGATGTAAAATGAACAATGTGATAAAAAAATAAATAAATGACAAGTTAAACATCCCAACATAAGATACCTTCAAAGGAACTGAATCCTTGCTAATCTCAACACATTGAATAATTTGGGGGATTTTAGTTTATTTTTTGTAAATATTATTTGACTAAACACTCACCATGCTTTCTCCTAAAATGCTTAATGTAATTTAGATTTTTAGAATTAAATGTCTTAGAATTTTCTATTTGGAAATCTTAAGTTTCAGCTGATGTTCACAGCTTTACCTTTGCTTAGTGTGACGTTCTGTGGTTAGAGTCTCATCCAGTGGGAGGTGGACTTGTAGATCCACTCTCAGCTGGGGGGCATCAGGGCTTTTAAGCTGCTTTGTAATGTACAGATGATTGCTGTCATGACACACCCTCTCTGTGTGTTCCTCTGGCTCTTCTATTGTCTGTCTTTGTCTCTCCACCGGCTTGGCAGCAGTTAAAATGGCTCAGAGAGTCAAACAGTCCTCACACATGGAAATGTTACTTCCAGCAGCTAAATGGGGAGAGTCTCCTCTTGCTCATACAAAAACACACACAGAAGCTGCTTGGTGACTTTTTCTGTGGGAAGAAGATGGGCTGGATGATCTCTGATCCCATCCTGTCCCTTGAGGAGACAACCGCACATACTACATTTGAACAAACTTGTTAACATGAAATTCCACCGGCAAACAGGAACTCATTTGCACTCTCTTGACATTTCCACCAACGGTTTTTCTCACGACCCAATGTCATATTTGCTTTCTATATAAACTTAACTAGACAATGGCTAGAAATAAACAGAAGACTAAAAAGTAACCTTAGATTTATCTTAAACTTGCCTATCGTCTGATTGCATTGCAAGACATGTATTTCTGAATATATCTATAAGTTTTCACAGCAGCACACTTGTATTCAGATTCAACAGACTCAGTCTCTCTTTTGTAGCTTTGCCTTGAATTTGCAGAGTAGCTGAATATATAAAAAAGTCATCTCTGAGTTAAAAAGTCAGCATTAATTCAGACAGCTAATTTCAATGCTTTTTTACTTTCATACATTAGGTGTCAAAAGTTTTATTTGGGAAAAAATGCATATCAGATTTCAACAATGGTAGATTTGTGATTTGGAACTGCAAGGCAAGAAAAAGTTGTTTTCTTAGAATCCTCTGAAGGTGATGAGCAGCAGCAGCAGGTCAACGTTTTCTGTTTATGTGTTCAGCTGTTGGAGTAAAGAGTCAACTGAAGAGCACCAGCAACAAACAATTGGTATTTATTCAGGGTCTACTGAAATTCCAATGGAATAAAAGTATATTTAGTGTTTTTATTAGACATTGCTTTGTATTCAATTTAGAAGGCATGACCTGGAGCAAAAAGACCATATAGCTGGTTAACAATGTTTGTATATCTTATTTTTGACAAAGTTCTCAGAAGGTTATTTTATTATTATTATTATAGGGAATTTTCTCTCTTTAGCCATCATAAATAGTGGATTGATAACTCCACACATGGGTAAAGTTAGCTTAGCTATATGGTCAAAGAAAACTTTGCACAGTATGGTGTCTCTTCATAAGAAGAGTTTTGAAAGCAAACCATCTGAAATTAGTTGTAGCTTAAAACCAGCACCACATAAAAAATGATTTCATAAAAATCTTCATGTTTTCTGCTAATAGTATTGTTTTTTTTTTATTGTTTGTAGCCTGAAAGGTGAATTTCATGTTTTGTTGCTACTTCTGCTGCTGGTTCATATTTACATACTGGCAAAACATGAGGTTACTTTTAAATGAACTGGCTTTGGGAATAAGCAGCAGGTTGACCTTTCATCTAAAAACTCAAGGTAATCTGATGCATGTTTTACTACAAATTTACTGAAGACCATCGCTTATTGATACATTTTGAATTTGGCTTTGTTTCCACAGCAACATGTAAAATGCCATTGGGTCAGGGATTAGGGAGTCCATGGTTTCTGACTTTTTGCAGCTCAGGAAGAAAATGTGCGAAAACAAACACCTATTTCACACTGTAAGGCACATACTCACATTTACAGTCTTTCACGGGTAATTAGGTGCATGTGTGTCACAGAAGAGAGTCGGGTATCTGGTGAGCTGCACCCACGGTAACAAGTGTCAAACATTTGTTGCTTTCAGCATCACAGTTGATGTTTCTTGACCTTTTGTCATTTTCTGCCTGATCCTTTCTCTTTTTTGCCCAAAGCTGATTTTTATATTTTTTGTCCCCGAATGGTTTAAAGTTTCAGCTTTGCATTGGCATGAAAGAAGATTGTAACTCAAGACACTTGTAGCTCAGTGTGGATATTACTAACAGTCTGTGTCATACCTTTTAGTGAGTAAGCTCCTTGTTTGATGTGTAAACAAATTGTCAATGTTGGCAACCGTCCACAGGCACTTGGAAAACAAACCTCAGGCAAAACATCAAATTACACACTAAAAATGTGATGATGCGCACATCTTGTTTATAGCGGATTCACTAAATCAGCTCCAACCAAATAACCCCTCGAAATTTTATAATTCATCAAATTTTTTGAATGACTATCAGACACGTCTGATAAAAACACAATTCCCTCAGACTTAAGGACATAGCTGGTAACAGTCAGGTTCTTTATCATTACAGGATCTATTTCTTTGTCAAGAAACATATTAACAAGTGTCAGTTTTATGAAAACAAAGGCAAATAAAAAATAGAAACTTGAAGGGTCTGATTTTCATTAAAAGCTGCTGAATACTGGTCAGAGTACATTAAAACAACTGAGCCACGGTTAGTCAACTTTTAGATTATTTAATTTAATTTATGTTTCCGTTATTGCCTCATCAATCAAGTTTCAACTACGTTTAAAATTGCTGTTTCAAAATCAAATTTGTAGTGTTAAATGTTCAAGGAAGGCAGGTGTTTGTTTTAATTAAATGCTTTACATTAAAAGTCATTTTTGCCTTTATTTTCTGTCTAGCCTGGACACTGCTTTTCTACACAATTACTTTTGTGGTTATATGTTTTATAACAAAACCACTAGCATTATTTAATATCACAGAATGACTTCCGACAAACACTCTTCTTGTCAGTAGCTCCAGAGGAGACCAAGCACATCCAGGAAACACACGCCTTCACTCTTCATGTAGACACCCCAGTCTGCATTTGGGTTCTGCCTTTAAATAAATAAATAAAAACTTTCTCTAATCTCCCTGGCAATATGTGCATTTGTTTCAAAATAAAAAAAAAAATGATATTTTGAAAACTAAAGCTTAACCTCCACAACCAAGAAACTCCTTCAGCCCACATCTCTAGGATGATTTACTGGCAAGAAAGAAAGGGGTGTGAAAATGAAGTAGAGGAAGAAAGAGCTTGTATCATTCAGAGTCTGGCTTCGATGTTGCAGTCAGAACATAAGGTGAGGAAGTCAACTCTTGAGTAAAAACATTTGCATTCAACAGCACGGGCTGCTTCCATCTGAGAGACCGTGAGGTCAGACAGAGTCTGAAATTTACTGTAAATAAAACCTTATTACTTAAAGGCCTGAGCTCATCAAATGCAGTCATAACAAAATATGACGGTCTTAATTGGCTGGAGAGACCAGAGTGTATTGCAGCAGATTTAACAAGATCTGCTTAAACATAAACTCTTCTAAAACAAGCTCAAATTATCACTTCCTTTTTGTTTCTTAATATTCAGACATGTTTCTCTTTTTTATAATTACCCAGTACTTTGAAGTTGTATCTGCAGTCATAAAAAGTATTTAAAACTAGCCAAAGTACACTATTAAAGGCTTCAGAAATTTCAAGTTATAGAGATAGAAACAGAAAGTTCTGTAAGAGCTTTCATTGGGGAACTGTGATCACTTGGGAGGAAGTAGCGCAAATATTGAATCACACTCTTCTTCAGAATACCAATGTTTGCATAGTTACAATCTCAAATGCCTGCTTGGATGAAGTGTTTGGTAACTTTTCAAGTTACTTTTTCTTTATTTTCTTGAATTGTTGATGACAGTGAGTCTCACTTTCATTATTCCTGACTCTTTCTCTTTCAGATTGATGTTGTCCGGCAGAGACATGGTGATCCTGAGGTGGGAGCTACTGTCCCTCTTGGCCATCATCCTGATGGTCTCCTGCAATGCTGCGCCTACAGATATTCTGTATCGGGTAAATGAGGAACAGCCTCCCAACACGTTGATTGGCAGCCTGGCCGCAGACCAAGGCCTCCCAGACACTGGACATCTGTACAAGCTAGAGGTGGGCACCCCTTACCTGAGGGTGGACGGCAAAACTGGGGACATCTACACCACAGAGATTCCTATTGACCGCGAGACACTGAGTGACTGCCAAAACCAGTTTGATGACAAATGCTACCTGGAATTTGAGGTGTCCATCACAGACATGGTGAAAGGGATTGGCTCAGGGCCGCGACTGATTGAAGGTCGCATTGAAGTGCTGGATATGAATGACAACACGCCACAGTTCTCTTCACCCATCCTCTCCCTAGCAATTCCAGAAAATACACACATTGGTGCACTCTTCTCCATCCCAATGGCCACAGACAAGGACTCTGGTTCCAACGGCGTGGCTGAGTACTCTCTCAGTTCCGGATCGGATGCTGATCAACTCTTCAGCCTGCAGGTCGCTTTGGACACGGACGAGAAGCAGCCACAGCTGGTTGTCATGGGTAACTTGGATCGTGAGAAGAAAGATTCGTATGATCTGAATATCCGGGTTGTAGATGGAGGGGATCCACCAAGGGCGAGCAGCGCTTTACTGCGAGTCACCGTGACTGATCAGAATGACAATGCTCCAAAGTTTGAGAGAAATCACTATGAGGCAGAACTGCCAGAGAACAGCCCACTGGGACACTCCGTTTTGCAGGTCAGTAAATGAACTATAGATTATATATGTTCATGCTGTTGAAATGTAGCAACTGCAAAATATTACGTGCCAACATTTTTTGTTTACTGACTTCTGGTGTAAAATATATCTGTTGGTACATACAAAATCATATACTCTGGAAATGTTCTTTTAGGTTTGAAAATTTCTGATGGTAAATATTCATCCATTTAGTAATTAGATGTGCATCACAGTAAATAGATTCATTAGATGAAAATGTTTATTTCAGCTAATTTTGGTAGCTACGGCTTGAAAATGCAAAATTAAGATTCTGACAGCATTAAAAAAAAACAATGAAGAATTTTGTTTCCAGAGTTATTCACTTTGTGGATTTAAGGAAGAGAAAAGAAGAATATATTTATTCACAAGATGACATTGCCTTGGAGTTCCCAAAGAGTTCAAAGCTTGGAGTATTCAAGACAACACACTGTCTCAGACACCTCCCCCATATAGCATCTATTTATATGGCGTTAATAATAAATCATGGCCCTGATGTCTATTGGAGTAAATATTGTTGCTCTAAGATCAGTTGGGATTTCCACTCCAGGTCAGTGGTTCAGATAATTAGTTAAAAAGGTTTTCTCTTCATCATCATAACAGTGTCAGAACTGCAGGACAAAGTAATTAAGAAGATAGCTGTAGTGTATAAAGCAGAAATTAATTAAAAGAAAAAAACAAAAACACCCATAGCCAATATTAGACCAAACTTTTGAAGACTTTTTTTTTACACTAAGTGAAATTGTGCCCATACATTGCTGCTGTTGCTCAGGAGTCAAGAGTTTCCATGTCACCAAACATTCCAGTTAAACCTTTGGCCTTGTTGGTGATAAAGTCTGAAAGCTGCAGGACAACTCGGCACACTGACTGCACATAATATGCTGCTCAATTATCCGTTCAGACAGATGGTGCAGTGGAGGTGAAGCAGGGCGTGGGATCGCTGTGTGTAGTCACATATTAACCACCGATTCAACTTCACCTTTGAGCCCTGGGCCGGGCGCCGGTCCTCAATGTTGGCATCAGCTGGCAGAATAGGAAGCCGCTGTTCGGTTGGGCAACTCCACAACAACCTGACAAACCCAGCTCACCGTGTCGTCCTGCGCGGTCCCTGTTTCCCTGCTTCTGTATGACTGCAGCACGGGCCGACCAGCCAGCCTTCCAGCTCGATGTGCATGACTTAATCTGAGTCAGTCATGAGATTATCCACGGGGCTTATTGGTATTATTGCTCTGGATGTGGCTCATTGCATTTCAGAGAGCCCCAGAACTCATTTCACTTAGCGTGCATTTGAGAAGTGATGCTGTATGGAGAGAGTGGGACAATGATGACGGACGACCCTGACCTGCTTAAAATGTCCAATGGCTTTGCAGACATGTATATCTCTAGCTTTTACTCAGTCTTTGAAAAGGTCATGGTGATTGGTTATGCATTTTTTACTCTATTTTCCTTCCGGGGAAACTCAAAAACTACCCAGAGGTTAGTTTTATGCAGTTTCTTTGTGCATTAAACATGTCTTTATATTTCTATGAAAGATATTTCTGAAGCATTTTATTCATAGAAAAATTTTCATTCGAATAACTGTGCATTTTCAAAACTAAAAACAATCCACTAAAATGTTGTAAAGTCAACCTTGGTGACATCACATTTTAAACCGAATGTTGCACTTGCACTTGATTGGTCCGTTTGAACCTGTGGCACTGTTCCTTGAAGTTAGCCTTGCCTACTTTAACCTGATTAGAAAGGAGTGATAAAAGAGACAAATTAAACAGGATGAATTTTAAATGACCAAAGTGGATTTGTCAGATCCAAACACTCATATTAACTAGCTTAAAGACTCCTTTCATAGATTCCTGTGTGCAAATCTTGATCTTATTAAAGACCAAATCCTCCTGAGTATATTGACTAAGATCTCTAATGTTTAACAGCTAAATTCCCATAAAGGACAATTACTTTAGGAACATGCTGATTAATAATGTAAAAGATGCTATCCAGGGCAGTTTGAAGAGTCTACATCGATTTTCCATGTAATTGTGGTGTTATTTACTCAACAATGAACTAGATAGAATGTAAACTATGATGGATTATCTCTCGAGTTGCTTTCCAGTACGAGAAATACTGATCTAAAATAGTTTAATTTCAAAAACTGCTTACCATTGATCAATTATTAATGATCAATTATTAATCAGCTAAAACATGCAGAGATTCTGGTCGGTTTATTTAATGCTGCTAGTCAACCTTGCTGGGTAATTGTTAACCGAGACATAAAGAGTGTTTATACTCGCTGTGTGCTTGGACAGAGTGGCCTTGGAGAGCAGCCAAAGTAGCTCTGGCTTCATCAGAGTGAACCCTATGCTCCATCAGCCCCTCTGTTCAATACACAATTCTCACAGGCTGTCAATAATTTACAGCTGTTTGGTGATATTTTCTGTTTAAAGGCACACTGGAGGGTAAAAACACCCATCAGCAGGCAAAATTAAAATTGTACTTTCATACTCTATAACTTTGTCCTGTTTTGGATCATAGTGTCATATTGGGTAACCTTAAACAGACAGGAAACCAGATATTAATTATGTAGTATGCTGTTAAAAAATTGAAACATGTCATAATAAGTTTTAAGAGACTGATTCAATTTAACCCCTTAAATTTTTTTGACATGCATGATTGTCTAAAAAATTAATTTGAGCAACTAATAAATGAAGAGTTTCCATCTTCCTAGTGCAAAAAATATAATTGACCTTTGTATCATTTTATCATTCGTATCATTCAGTTTTAGTTGCTGTATAAGATAGAAATAAAAGGAGACATAAAAAAGCAAATCAAGCTGAATGTTAACATATGATGGTATGTTAATTTGATCAACATGTATTTTTTTTTTTTTTATGGATAGGTCAGCTTAGTTTAACATAAACACAGAGCTGAAAAAAGACTGTTTAATATTTAACAGATATATTTCCCATGTCTTAATACAAGATTCACTAACAGAGCCAAGGCCCTGGCTCACTCAATACACATAAATATAAAAACTGAAAACTTGTGCTCCAGAAATTAATCGCATAAACACCCTCAAAAAGCACTTTTTTTTATTTATTAGTTTTTTGTTTTTTTTTAAATGACAAGAAACAAGTGCTAGAATTCTAAAACACAAAGTTGGTGACAAAGGTAAGATTTTGCTAACCTTGCTCTAGGTCTGTCTTCCTATTTTCAGTTGCCTTGGAAATATAGTATTGTAATTATGTGTTGTAGATAAGGCAGTAGTTTCATCTTACACTTTGATTAAAGACCAACAAAAACATTCCTCTTGCTGTTGGAATTATAAATTGATTTTTGTGCCCTTGGCCCACACTTGAATTTTATTGTCCATGTTACAGGGTTCAAAAAATTCTATCCCATTGGTAGATTTATTTTTTCTTCTTTTTAAGGACGTTTTAAAAGATTATTTTCCTGAGTCCAAGCTTGGCTCAGATTCCCCAATGCTTTAAAGGAATAATTGGCCTTAAGATTTAAAAACCCTAATTACATTAGTGTAAGTTCCAGGTAAAGGCTGTAAACTTGCTGAGCTCGCGGTACCTGAGATGTTTATGAAACCTGTCTGATTGTATTTCATCTGATGACAAGCTACATTCCTTAATAGCAACTGTGGCATTGAATAAATACGATTAAAAAGTATTAGACATGTTGACACAGAGAGTATTCCTAACAAGCTCAACCTAAGTGATATTTTGCTGACTACTCCTACACTCTAATTGACTAATTATCTCCATTTAGTTTAGGTTTGGACATGTGAAACGGGATTGTGGCTGATGTTGGTCTGTTCTCCCTGTTCTCCTAATGGGCCCAGAGGAGTCGGGGCTTTTCTCATAATGAGTGAAACATTAACATTCACTCATCTGCCCATTACATGCCAATGACCTGCTGCACAGCCGTTAGATGTTGTTGTGTGGGTGCGTGCACTCAGCTTTGATAGTCTATTACGTTTCTACACAGCAGAAACTTCCACCCCCTCAGAAAACAAGGGTATTATACAGTTGCAAGGCTAATGGTTGTAACTCTTTGTAAGTCAAACAAGCCAAATAATCAATAAAATGTAACTGAGCTTGTTTTAAGAATGTTGGATGTTCAGGTTCAGAGTCATGTCTGACTGCAAATTGACTCAAAATTAGTCAAATGAAATTCAGTTTTCTATGGTTTAGTGTTGTAACTGTAATTGGGCTTTCTTTCAGATTTGATGTCCCTAAAAAAAACATTTCCATGTATTGTATGCTTTGATAATAATATAACTCTTTTTTTTTTTTTGCATTTTCAGGTTCGAGCCAATGACGCAGACACTGGTGCCAATGGAGAGATAGATTACAGCATACATCAGGCATCTGAGACTGTTCAGAGGCTTCTGCGCATTGACCGCTCCACTGGCATCATTTACGTCAAAGGCCTGGTAGACAGAGAAGAAACTAATTTTCTCAAGTTCTTTGTGGTTGCCCGAGACCGTGGGCCTAATTCCAAGAGTTCCAAAGTCCTAGTGACCATCATCGTCAAGGACCAAAATGACAACGCACCAGCAATAGAGATTCGTGGTATTGGGTTGGTCACTCACCAGGACAGTGTGGCAAACATCTCTGAGGACATGCCGATCGGTACCCCAGTCGCACTAGTCCAAGTGTCTGACCGTGACGAGGGAGAAAACGCTGTGGTGACATGTGTGGTCGCAGGTGACGTCCCTTTTCAACTCCGTCCTGCTAGCGAGTCAGCCAATGATAGAAAGAGAAAATACTTCCTGCAGACAACGACTCTGCTGGACTATGAACGAATTAAAGATTACCGAATTGAAATAGTTGCTGTGGATTCTGGTAACCCAGCTCTGTCAAGCACCAATTCTCTGAAGGTCCAGGTCACAGATGTGAATGACAACACACCAACATTTTCTCCACCTTTGCTTGAAGTGTTCTTCCCTGAGGGAAACCAGCCAGGTGACAGAGTGCTAGATATTTTGGCCACAGATGCAGATAGTGGTATAAATGCAGAGATGATTTATAGCATCATTGAGTCCTCTGCTAACAGACTTTTTGAGGTCGATGCCAACACAGGAGAGGTTCGTGTTAAAAACACACTGGATCGAGAGGAAGTTGAGCGCTATGAGTTCCATATCGCTGCAGCTGACAAGGGGCTTCCAAGTAAAACTGGAACTGCTACAGTGGTTATAAATGTTCTAGACCGCAATGACAATGAACCCAAATTTATGTTAAACGGATACAGTTTTTCTGTAATTGAAAACATGCTCCCACTAAATCCTGTTGGTGTAGTGACTGTGACTGATGCTGATGAGGGGGAGAACTCAAGAGTGACACTGTTTGTAGAACCAGACAATGGCAAGTTTGTGATTCAAAATGGCACAGGAACGATCCTGTCAAGCATTTCTTTTGACCGTGAAAAGGAAAGCACCTACACCTTCCGTCTGAAGGCTGTGGATGGTGGTGAACCACCTCGATCTTCCTACGTTGGTGTGACCATCAATGTCCTGGATGAGAATGATAATGCCCCCTATGTCACCAAACCATCCAACTCCTCTTACACTTATCTGACACCTGTCACACCTCCAGAAACAAGAGTGGAAGTGGTTGAGGCTGAGGACATTGATGCTGGGCCCAATGCAGAGCTGTATTATTCAATTACCGGAGGAAACCCTTATGGCCTTTTTCAAATCTCATCCACCAGTGGGGAAATCACACTGGCACAAGCATTCTCTGGCAAGCACAATGGGCTTCACCGGCTTGTCGTGAGGGTCAGTGATCGAGGCAAACCTGCTCGCCACACCACAGCCTTAGTTCACGTGTTTGTAAATGAAACCAAATCTAATGTGTCCCTCATTGAGGCACTTGTGGGTCACAGTCTTTACACACCTCTGGACAGAGACATAGCAGGAGACCCTAACTATGCCTACAGTCAGCAAACCAACATTTTATACGCTGTCCTTGCAGGTGTTGCTGTTGTTATTTTGGTCATTGTAGCTGTGGTGGTCATCAGACATCATCTGCAGAAAGATACTAAAAGCGGTTACCAAGCTGGCAAAAAGGAGAGCAAAGATCTTTATGCTCCCAAGCAGGGACCCAAAAATGGCAAAGGAAAAAAGAGCAAAAAGCCCAGAGCTCCAAAACCCACCAAACCACTGGAAGAGGATGAGGAGGCGAGTTTGCAGAAAGGTTTGAAGTTCAACCTTATTAATGACGTTAATGACAGTCCCAGAATCCATCTGCCCCTCAACTATCCACCAGGAAGCCCCGACCTGGGCCGTCACTATAGGTCCAACTCTCCTTTGCCATCTATTCAGCTGCAACCACAGTCACCCTCTGCCTCCAAGAAACACCAGGCTGTTCAAGACCTCCCTGCAACCAACACCTTCGTAGGGACGGGCGACAACAACTCCACGGGCTCGGATCAATATTCGGATTACAGCTACAAGGCCAACCCACCCAAATACAACAACAAACAGGTAGGCGACTACGCAAATATGACTATGTACCCCAGGGAGAACATCTATTGGACCAACCGTGTGTGGTAGACACGCTGGAACTTACATGGCACTGCTGCCAGTTTTTTCCCACCAAAGCCGCACTGATTCCCTTGCACAGCTCCCTTTTTTTCAGATGGCTTTTACTCATTTTATTTTGAGTTTCATTCTGTTCACAATGTCCATTCTGTTCAGTTTTTGCTTTTCACTTCAGTATGGACAGTACAAAATATGAAGCATAACATAAATATGGTCTTCCTGATCTGGTGACAAAACCTCCCTAAAATGGACTTTAAACAGGGTTCATAAGTTTTCCTTTTTGTTTTTCACACAAATGTTTAATTCATGAATATCTGCAGTATAAATCTGTTAGTACCAGGCCCTGTCCACACTAATCCAGATATTTAGCAAAAAAGCTAGAGGTGATAAACCAGAGATTTCTGAAGTTTTTTAAAACCTCCATTTGTGGTGTAAATGTGTAAACAAAAACTTGAACAAACAGACATAGCTTGTACTTGCCCACAGCAGTGAAGGATTTTCTTCCCCTTAAGTTTCTCTTTGTGCTAAGTCAGTTTCGATTAAATGTCAAAAGTAAGCTAAAGAAGTCAATAATTAAGCAGAAAGGTGAACTGTTGTCACAGAAAACAGATTTTCTTTCTAGTGAAGCACTGCTTTAGTCTACAGAGTCTTCTTTTTTTGAAGGTAAAGATTTAGCCTAGATATTACTTCATTTTTGGCTGCAATCCTGCAAACCATTTTAGAAATGAGGAGGGAAAAATATCAGTTTAAGAAATATCTGGAGTAGGGTAGCTGGGGCCTGATTTCTTAATTTATAATCCAAGAATAAATCAAACTTATTTGTTCAACTTTGGATATTGGAAATCTAATGTAGGTCCATCCTGGGGTCCTTTGTGTTTTTAATTTATGTTATTTTGTGTTTAGCTTCTTGTTTTTGCAAAGGGTTTAATGAAGGTTGGTTCTTTTCCTTGTTCTGTGTAAATTGAACTTGAAGTTCTTCCTTTGAGCTTCATTCACGCTGACAACCTTATTAAGTCTGATTTTGTTTTATGTTTTTTTTTTATTTAGTTGTTGTTTTTTTACTTCAGAAGAGCCAGTTGTTTAAGTTTAAACTCTCTAAGTTTATAGCTGCTCCTCATGGCTGAATCAGTTTATTGAAGTGTGACAAAGAGTGACTGTGAATTTTCTTATTTTATTTTTTTTTTCTAATTGATTCTTGGCTTTCTCTGGCCAGGAGCTCTGCAGGCTGAGGAGCACTTTAAAGTGTTTCCATCCAGTTCAGACCAATTTAAGGTAATTTTAGCTCAGTCAGGGCGCCAGACAGTGAAAACAGAATAGAAAGTGGAGCAAGAAAGACGAGGATGGGGATGTAGAGTTGCATAAGGCCAAGAAAATATGAAGGAAAAGGTACATGAAGACTGAATGCAACCATTTCTTAACCTCCACACTTCCTGTCGAGTTGGTTGAAATACGACTTTTAATTTTGCCATGTTCCTAATCAGTGGGGCTAAAAAGTCAATTGTTTGCACAGATTAATGGCAGGTAATTTTCCAGGCGCTGACTTGCGCCTTTTCGTTACCCAGAGTGCCTTGCTCTTTTCTATTTAATGTAATAGAAAAAACTGAGGGGTGAGACGGTGATCATTAACAGCGTGGCTGTGACGAGCTCTTTGATTTCACTTCTGCGATTTCTCTTTGATGGACTTGGCTGCCGTGAAAACTGAAACTGTCACATGCACTGTTGAAAACCCTCGGAGACAATCAAATTAAGTTGTGATAGACATGTTCAGTCTGTACATACATGTGAAAGATGTGTCAAATGTTTTAGGGTTGTTAATTTTTGTTTTGTTTGTATGTGATCTCTCATCTGCTGTTTGTTTTTTGTTGCAACATTACTGTGTGATGTGTGTGAGCCTAACGAGGGCGTGTCATTCTTCCTCCCTGCTTCTTAAAGACTTCTGTTCACCGTGTGAAGACCCAAACCAAAGACTCACATATAGACACACACACACACATTTTCATTATCATCACCATTTCACAGTCAAGCACAGAATATGGACCTAAGGCCACGGATCTGCTTCCTGTTTGGTCAGTCTTGGCAGTTTTACACATTTGTACAGTGTTTTTTTGGTGTTTTTTACAGCTAAAAGAAGATTTTATTTCAATAAACATGTTGCTAAAACATTACTGTGACGCTCTTTGTGGATTCACTGGGTTCTTGAGGTGGGCTGGACAAAACAGGGAACAGATTGCTGGAAAAGGTACAGTATTCCATTGTCACCTCCATCCTTCACACATGGAGAGAAAAGATATTTGGTAGAAATATGTTTATTGTGGAATTCACTTGACGAAGTTTCCAAATCATAAAATTCATGGAAACAAATTAAGGCACAAAACAGTATTTGTTTTTGTAGAACGTCCTCTTGATTCCATATTTCAGAGTATACAACTCTGAATAATGTTGCAGTTTTTTCCTTGATTGATTGGCCAGTAAAATTTTTAACAATTTTTTTCTTCTGTTAATTAAACGCAACCAAAAAGCAGGAATCCTTGCCAACTCGCAACATCTACCTAAATGTACATTTTTCAGGAAACGTCTGACGAGGCTAGATGAAATATACTTTGATGCATGGTTTTAATTTTCTTCTTTGTTCATTTTATCTTGGTCTCAAAACTACTACTGTGATATTCAGTAAAGCTTGTTTTTCCCTTGTAGTTCATAGGAAAGCACAAAAATTTGTAAGTCTGACTTCAAATAAAAAAAATTATGTATTGGACAGAAAAAACGGTGCTTGTAACAATTTTGCAAAAAATAAATAAATTTCTAACCAGTTTAATACAATTTTCAAAGTAAATTGAAAATCTTGGTCTCAACATTAGGAAATAGTCATTGTAAAACATTCAGTCATGAAAGTAAGCTGACAATATTCGTACTTTTTGCTCTTATGATTGTTAAAATATTTAGACTAAATTAGCTAAATTCAACATCTAAATATATCCAGATAATAAAACTTAAAAAAATCTAACAGGATGATCATTATGTGAAAATAATGATGTAATTGAATATTTATGGCAAAAACTGTATAAATAATGATGGTTGACATAGTAACTTGAGCTACTCATCTTAATTATATATATATATAGCTTTTACTGTGCTGGAAAAAAAAAATATATATATATAGCTTTTACTGTGCTGGAAAAAGGCTTTTTTAACAATCAAGTATTATAGATGCAGTATGTGTATTATGGGAAACAAATGTTTCACATAGTTGTTAAAACTGTCAGTAGAATATGAAGCAGTTAATCAGTTAATCTGTAAAAGAAAACAGCAAACAAAAAAGTCATTCTCCTCTGCCCTGTGGTTTTACAGTCATCTCCAGAAATATGTTGCTTGGTCAGAAAAAAACAATAAGCGCTAGGAGGTGGGGCTTAATGATGTGAATCACTCACGTGCATGTGCTGATCACCCCTCCTCCTTGCTCTCTGCTAAGCTACAGCTAGTTCACCAAAAAGGAAGCTTGTAATGAATGCTTATGCTATTTAGCTTGTGGTCCGAAGACAGCAGATAAGCTGTTGTCCTGTAATGGTAAGTTGTCTAGCCGCCATTTAGCACATTTAGCAGCACGAGCTGAATTGACAGAAATGACATTAGGAGCTACTCTGTTTCCCTAAGACATTCTAATGAAGAGGATGGTCAGGATTTTCTGTAATTTTCTTGATTTTATGAAGAGTCCTTCTTTGCATCATTATCTCCAGACGATTAGTTGTCGCATACATTCACAACATATTGGCAGTTTTGACAAATATGTAAAAAACATATTGTTTTGTAAAAGTTATTCCACATACTGCAGGTTTAAAAATTCTAGTTTCTGAGTTAGTCACTGAAACCTCCTGCCTGGCGACATACAGACTGGAGCACTCTAATGTGTCATGGGTGGTTGTATCTGAATCACTTGTGATGGTTGAGGGAAGAGTTTTTAGAGAGATTTTATGCTTGGAGGATGATTCTGCTACACCCTAAACTTCTGTCAAGAAATTTTTGGAAACAAATGCTTAAAACCTTTTTGTTTTACATCTAAAAATCTGGAATGATATTTAAGTCCGGACGGCAAAGGATTAAATTTTGACTAAAAAAGACTAGAACCAGAATTGAAACATTTTAGAAAGAAAGAACTCAAACGTTTGTGTTTCAAAGCTGTTCTTTTTTTTTACTTCAATACAAATCTGAATCCTTTTTTTGCTTAAAAAAAGTGCATTTTATACTGAATATATTATCAGGAGGGATGGACAAAATCACTATTCTAGACTGTTTTGCACTGCTGATGCAATCAATTCCATTATTTATTTTCTTGTACTAGATCTGCGCTGTCTCAGACATCAGTCCTTAAAGTTGGGAATAACATAGCATGTTCCAGTATGTTAAAGAAAAACACAGTTGAAATTATCTTAAATATATTTTGGAATATGGACTAAGTTAAAACATCCGTCTTCAAGAATGTTTACCACTCATACATCAGGCTTCCAGACCAGCCATATTAGTTCTGTTTAATCTGAAACAACATACACATTGTGTCAATCACGCTACCTTTTATAGAACCCAGCTCAAACATTGCATGTCCAGTCTTAAACCCTGAGATAATGTGATCTAGTGGTTAGAAATTCAGCTTAAGTGCCTTTTTTCTAATTCTGAAGGACTACTTTTATATGTGTTTTCTGATAAGGATAGACAGATCTACCTGTGGGTTACCAAATAATTGAATTAAAGCAGAGAGACGGAGAATGGAACCTGCAAGAAATATTCAACTTTTAGGACCTTGCACCCTAAAAGAAGAGTGAATACAGAGTCACCTGTGATTAGAAAAACAGTAAAACAGCCAGGAAGTTCTACAGACGCTCTGATGAAGGACACCCATTGAGTCTGTGTGACACAGGACAAAACTGAGGATGGAGTGAGAGGGATGGGGA